ACACACATGGATAATACAACACACATGCACACTACAATACAGACACACTACAAAACACACACACTGCTGCTTCAGNTCTTATATGTTGTGTTTTTGAGGTAACTCCTCTAGCTGTGTATTGTAAAGTGTCTAGTAAACACACACACACACACACGCACATACACACGAGTGAGTGAGTGTCTGTGTGTGAGTCTGAAGAGCGCTGTAATAATCTGCTGAAGTGGGTCAGGACGGATGCACATGTGCATTATGGGAAAATCCTCAGTCACGCACAGCTGCACCGATCATATGAGAACACACTGCAGAACATCTCACTCTCGCTCGCTTCTGGTCCAAACATCTACACACTCCTACATCAGGACACACTCTACACGAGCAGAACAGAGTGTGTTGTTCTCAGAAACAATGAGTTGAAATGAAGAGAGTCTTTCATTAAAACAAGCAGAATAATCTGACAATAATGCAGCTTACTTACAATGAACGCATGTACATTACTCACTACAACACTTGACTGATATACGGACAAAACACACTGCTGAATGCATCCGTGGTCCACCTACCAGTGTTTATTTGACAGTGTATATGCAACTTAAGATTGGTGTTTTTAAGCTGATCAGAGGCTGGAAATGTCACACAGCAACTTTTTAATATTAAACCAAGCAAAAATAAATCAGATTTCTTTTAAAAACTGAAGCTAAAGCACCAAACCATGTCCGTGCATTCATTCTAATGGGTTGTTTTCCCCCACAGCACAAGTGCTAGTGGTGTTTCGCTGGTCTATTCAGAAAGCTATATTGTAAGTTTTATATTCTACTCTAGACATTGAACGTCTGAGGAAAGTTATATTTATTTGTCCGTCGTGGAATATTTTAGTTTGTCATTTTAATATTTAACTTTTCATTGATCAGCTCATTAAAGCTGCTGTATGTCAGTGTTTGACTCTTCTGCATCATATAGACAGCATCATATGTGTGCAGATATTCAGAAACATGCTCAGTGAACATGCTTGATTTTCTGAAACAGTGCTGAAGTCAGATATCCTGCAGTGAACATGTGCATTAAATGCTGGAGCAGCTGTCTTTGTTTTGGTCTCTTTAACCCAGCCAATGCCAGTTTAGCCAATTATATTCCAGCACGCCGGGTTCATTCATTTAGAAAGGCTCTCTAAGCATGTGTCTGCGACCGAAATGTGACCTCTGGTG